ATTTATATAAATTTTTGGACATTAAATGCTTTCATGGACCAACCATTTTCAAAATCATTAATGTGGTGTTCCAATACATTAAACAACTCCTAATATATTTATTTTAACTAATGAAATCTGATCCATACTCCTATAGACCGAAAATCCATCTCTCAAGTCAAACCCTACCATAAATCATCATAAATGAGGGAGAAAAAGGAAGATTGAGGCTTAGATTACTTACCTTGGGTGTTTGGAAGCTTCAAAACATCAACAATGGAAGCCAATGAGCATACCCCAGCAGAGCTCTAATGTTCTCTTCATTTTCTTCCTCTTCTCTCTTATGTTTTCTCGCATAGATGTGATCTAATTTATCAAAAATTTTCCCCGTGTACCGCGACATACACTACCTTCCACCGCAACACATGGCACATAAGAGCCTATTACATTTAAATTTGTCTTTATGCGTCGCGGCAGAATAATCACGTGCTGCGGCGTGTGGCATAGAGAACAATTCTTCACTTTTTCTTCCTCTTTCCTTGCCTGAGTGGCCTGCCATCGATTCGGATCCATTTCTAGGGCTGAAATCATAATAATTATGCCAAGTTAAGCTTCTCTGACCACACACCTCATTAATTCACTAATGACCCTTATTAGGTTAATAAATCATGGTAAAATTTTCCTGAATGTTATATTTATTAATAGAGATAAACTCTTATGAGTTTATGATCCAAGTTTAAGTTTTGAGTTTACATCCCTCTCATGAGTTTACTTAAACTCGCGAGTTTAACAACCTTATTTATAACACATTCATTTATATAGTTGAATCCAAAAAAGAAATTTTATAAAATATCTTCTACATGCTATTATTAATCAGAGTGGAGGAGATTTTATAGTTTTTTAAAGTAATTTTAAATTTTAGCCTTGTATTGGTTAATGTTTCTTTTTTCATATAAGTTATATTGGTTACTTTTATAAATGATAATTATTTAATTGAATTCGTGGTAGTTACAAGTTAAAGGTAAAATGAAAGGAAAAAAATTTGTCAAAATTTCATTTCATTACATTCTTTCTAAAAAAATTTTTTTAATAAACCCAATACATTTTAAAATGTCTTGGAGAAAGTATTAATCTAAAGAACCATTCTCGACTTACAACCTAAACTACTTCAAACCTAACATAGCTTAACTATTAGAAAAGTCAAGGTTCAGTCATTTGATTAGATATATTTAAATAAATAGGCCAAATCTAATTTCATAAGACATAACTTACAAGTCTGATATATGACCTATTTACATATAGGTTAAACTTATTTTCACAATACATATCTTGCAAGCCTAATGTGCTTACGCACATACATTATTATTATGTAATATATGTTACATGTGCATGCTTGTATATATAATGTGTAACATATAATATTTAATTAAAAATTGAAAAAATAATAAACTCCACTCTTTTATGTGGCCTCTTTCTTCTTGAATCCAAACTTGAAAGCATTAGATATGTCCTTTCATGGCCATGTTCCTTTTTATTGAATTTTGTATGATGAATTGATGATATATTAATCTCATCATTTGATTTTTTTAATTGATGTGTTATTATTTATTTGTAGTTTGTCGATTATGTTTCCAATTATATTAGAATTGTGTGTTAATTTTAATGTTGTTATTGTATTCCCATATTAATCTATTGTAGTTGTTAAATCCTCTTACTATATGCTACAGTTGATCGAGTAATGTACATATAAATTTTAACAGTGTTAAAGCCTATTTGAGGCCTTTAAAATTTAGGACATATTATGTAAGCTTATTTAAAAAACTTACTCTCAAGCATCCTTTTAAATATACTTATAAGGTAGGTTAAGTCTTAAGTGGGTTTACGTTTTTTGTTAAAAAGTTTTTTATATAAGTTTTAGGCTAGGCAATTAATGTGTCAAGTTGAGGTTGATTTGGTCATGGCTCAACTTCTTCCAACCTATTTTCATCCCAATAAAAATTAAATAGGCGCTTTTTGCCATTTCACTGACTTGTTTATCATCAATTCTCTAGCAATTTCAAGCATTCTTGAAAGATATTAGTATTTAGCAATTGGCAAGAAATATCCTTAACATGGACAAATATCATATGAATAAAAATATATAAAATAAATTTGTACACTCAAATGGATGAAGGTTAAAAAACTACTCCAACTTCATAGTTTCAAAGTTTCAAATATATATATAATACAAATAAATTTCATGATAATTATTTGGCCTATAAATAATATTTTAATATATTTCACCTATAATTAATGAGGCAAATTGACCACAGTACTAAAAAAAAATACCAATATGCTATACCTTTAAAATTATTTTCCCAAATACTACAAATTTAAAATTTGGTTCAAATGAAATTGAGTTTCAATTTTTTTAACAAAAAAGTACAAAATTTGGTTTCTATCAAGCTAAGTTTTGTACTTATATTTAAAAAAAATTGATGTGACATGCATGGCAGGTTATGCTTGCCATGACCTTACATCAACATATGACTGTATTTCATAATTTTCCTTCCCTTCTTTTCCTGTTACTAAGGTTAGTACTTTGAGTTAAACTCAATGAGCCAACTTGAACCCCGTCCAAAAAGATTTAAGACTGGGCTTAAAAAAATAGTTTTTTAATGTTTAGGCTAGTTTGAATAAGGTCGGAAAAATTCAGTCTAAGCTCGATAGAGTTTGGGCTTTGTCCTAATACCCAAATAAAAAAATTTTATTTTTTAAAATACATAAAATATAATTGATTATTTAATTTTAGGTCATTTTTTTACTAAAATACCATATATTTGAGTCCTATACATCATTTGAGTATCAAAAAATATTTTTATAAAATAAAATAATTAATTTTAAAGTAAAAAATAATTAAAAATAAAATTCAAGTATTTGGGTCGCTCAAAGCCTAAATAAAATCAGGTCGGGCTTGGTTATTTGAACTTTTCAGAGAATTGATCTTGTTTATGTTTGGGTTTATTCAGGTTGGGCTTATTCAGCCCAAGCCTGAATAGGCTTGCATGAATTTCCAACTCTACTTGTCATCCCTCCCCTCTCTTCTTGCATGGATGTGTAATGCATTTGGATTTTTTTTTTACCAACATGTATCTATATGTTTATATAAAACAACTATGATATTAATTTTATAATTATAATTATACAAATTATCCATTTCAAAAACTATACTCCCAAGGCTTATTGTTATAAGATATTTTTAATCAAATTATATTCTTGATAAGTTAATTAATTATCTTAAAATTAATGAGATTTGTAAATTCTTTTCTTGATTTTAATGAGAATGTTAGGAGTGCTTTATAAATAGAAATAAAATAATGCTCTTAATTATAGGTGTAATTAATAATGTTCTTTAGTTGATATATCCTGTTAAACAAATGCAAATATAAAAAGATTGTATAATTTTAAGGCAATTAATTAACTCATTAAGAATATAATTTGACTAAGAATATCTTATAATAATAATTAATAAGCCTTAGGAGTATGGTTTTTGAAATGGATAATTTGCATTATTATAACTATAAAATTAATATCATAGTTGTTTTATATATAAACATCTAGATACATGTTGGCAACAACAAAAAAACAAAAACCCATATGCTCGCACATCCATGCAAGAATAGAGGGGAGGGGTGACAGGAAGAGTTGAAAATTCAAGTAGGCAAGCTTGAATAGGCCTAAACCTAAACAAACTCAACTCTCTAAAAAGTTCAAATAGTCAAGTTCGACCTAAATTTGTTCGGGCTTTGGGCAACCTGAATATCCAAATTTTATTTTTAAAATTATTTTTAATTAATTTTTTACTTTAAAATTAATTATTTTATTTTAAAAATATATATAATATATATTTTTGATATTTAAACAATGTATATGACTCAAACATATGATATTTTAGTATAAAATGACCTAAAACTTAAAGAATTAATTAATATTTAATTATATTTTAAAAATAATTTTTTTTATTCTAGTATTTAGGTCAAGCCGGAACCTAATCAAGCTTAGCTTAAATTTTTTGGGCCTATTTAGACTAGTCCAAACATAAAAAACTATCTTTTTTTATAAAATTTATTTTTAAATTTTTTCGAGCGAATTTAGGTTGACCTGTCGAGCTTGACTTGAATTACCAACTTTAATAACTGGGAAAGAAGGGAAGGAAAATTATTGAGTGCAATCATATATTGAAGTGAGGTCACCATAGATATAAATATAACCTGCCACACATGTCACATCAATTTTTAAAAAAATATAATTACAAAATTTGGCTCAATAGAAACTGAGGTTTATACTTTTCTCAAAAAAAAAAAAGAAATTCAGTTTCATTTGAATCAAATTTTAAATTTATAGTATTTGAAAAAATATTTTAAAAGTATAGCATATTAGTAACAACTATGATACATTTTTTTTCTATAAAATATTTTTTCATTGTAACCTACCTTTAAATATTTTTTTCTTTGTAATACTGTGGTCAAATTGCCAAATAATGATTTCTTTGTAGTATATATATCTGATAATTTTACGACAGCAACAAGTCAAAAATATATAGTAGATGCTAAAAGCACGTAGCAATAAATAATACTTACGATTCGTGAACTGAGTAGTGTCTGTAAATCACAGTGAATAATTTCCAAAAAAGAAAACGGTGGCAAAGCCAAAAAAAAAAAAAAAAAGAGGAAGAGGAAGGGCGAGCCCGAAATTCTCGGTCAAATTGGCGGGAACTGAGTCGGGCCACGGGCACGTTCGTGATAACGCCGCGCTTCCGGTTCTCATTTTCCTGCTGCGGGTCCCACCATATATTCAGTACATAATTGGCCCCAACGATTCAGAAACAGAGACACCGTACGATGGAGGTCCAATCCAACGGCTCTGACCCCTTCTCTCTTCCCGCCGATAGTAGGCCACCTCCGCTGACAAAACGCATACAGCAACACTGTTCTGTAAAAGGGATTTGTTTCCATTTTCAATTCTTTTTCTTTCCCTTTTCCTTTTTCTTTTTTTCTCCCCTCGATTTCCCTAATTATTGCATTTCTCTTTATAATGCTATCAATCTAGCCCATATTTTCCTGTCCATATGCCTCGCTTTTTCTTGCCTTTGAACTACTCACTATACACTTGAGCCTTCTCTGTTTTGTGGTTCATCAACAACCCGCCGCCTCTATTAGTTCTCTGAAATCGATCCCGTGCTCCAGAGATGGTAAGGACACTCAGAATTCTTTCTTGTTCGATTTAAATTATTGATGGGCTTCATCTGCTTCGCATTTTTCAATCTTAACACTGTATATTTGACTTCAATTCCATTTTTTTAATCGTTCTGGCTAGATTACGCATATGATTCTTGAGTATGTTAATAATAGTCAATTGCACTCCTTGGAGTGGGTTTTCTGTTTCCAGTTTGTTCTCTGTCAAGGGGAGTGTGAATTGTGAAGATTGAGTTTATATATTGTTATGAAAATGGTTTAAACTGAGATAGCGTGTGTAAACAAATTCATTTGCTGTTGATTCGATAAGGAAGATGACTTCTTGTTAAAGTATTTATCCTTGATGCTTGAACTTTATTGTGCATTGGAGTAATTTTTCTATCATCTATCTGTGTCAGTCAAGAGGAATATGAATTTTCCAAACTGAGTTTATATCTCGATTAATGGTTTAATTAATCTGGATTAGTGTGGTTAAACAAATCAATCATCTGATGATTTGACGAGGGAGAAGGCTTGTTATTTGATTTTTTCTCCTTGATTCTTGTACTGTTTTTGCCTTGGATTCTTTATGAAGTTTTAATTCCTTCTGAGGCAAATGGTTGAATTTTGCAGGTTACTATATTACCTGAGGGGAAGAATAGTGCAGAATGGCTTAGAACTCTTTTGCATAGCAGCTTTGGACATTGTGATGATCACCAACACCTTAGGTATAATGAGAAGAATGTTTTCTGTATAGATTGTAAACTTAGCTTGTGCAGGCATTGCAAAGAAGCTCATACCCTCCATAGAAGGATACAGATATACAAATACGTTTACCAAGATGTTGTTCGGCATTCAGAGCTGCAGAAGTATTTTGACTGCTCAAGAATTCAGGTTCTCTCCTGTTTTTACACATTTCATTTTTAGCGTTAAACTGGTCTTTGTTTCACCTTTAAGATGATGTTTCATGTTTGCTCCCCCCTCCCTCCCTTCCCTCCAACTAATTTTAGAATTGAGTATGAATGTCTTTTTGGATTGGCTGAGACAACATTTTAAGTGTGTTGACTTTGTTATATTTTGAAATGTTTCTGCAACTAAGTCGTTAAAAATTTAGATGTAATTTACAGCATCTCTTCTCCAGCATTCCTAAACATCAATGGTGTGATAAATTTGTTGAATTCAAAGAGCTAAATTTGCCAAATGAGCATAGCTCAGAAATCTTTTACCCTACTAATTATGAAATGAATTTCTATCTATGAAGTAGGAGCATTTAAAAAGAGTTGTGTCGTATTTGTATCAGACATGTAAACAAGTAATCATATAAGATATGAGATGATACTTAAATTTATATTTCTACATTGTAAATTTTTATCATATGTGGTGCCTATGCTTCTTAGACTTTTACCGTTGATTTTGTGAGTTGGAAATCCATGAAACAAGTCCTTTGCCTCATGTTCATTTCTTTCTGAGTGCATCTTACTCACTAAACCTAACTGCCATGATCCTAGCAAGCCTTGCACTTGATTTTGAGATGGAACTAAAGATTGATGAACATAGTTTCCATACAATGGTGATGTGATTTGGCAGACCTACATATCAAATAATGAAAAGATCATACACCTCAATCCTCGGAGATCATTGAAGAGCCCCAAACCATCAAGAAGAGATAATACAAGTGTTGATGTAGGTACTCCTGAGTCTCAATCCCAAGATACCAAAGTGTCAAGCAAATTAAAGTCAGGAGGTACTTGCGAAGAATGCGGAAAGCATTTACAAGATGAGCGTAACTGCTTCTGTTCCATATCATGCAAGGTAACTTCTCAAGCACTGCCAAATTGTTTTGCTTACTTTCTTTTCTTCAATCTGAACAATTTTTTATTCGAATTATGTGCAATTTCCAGATCTCAGTGCTTTCAGCGGAGCCCAAATTAATCAAATCTCCAAAATCTGAAGTTTCTGACCATTCTCTGAATGATAATCAGAACTCAGAAACTGAGTCATCAATATCTGAGGCAGAGCCATATGAGAGAGCTGAAGTTGTGATTCCAAGAAAACGCCCAAGAAAAGCCATCCCTCACAGATCACCTTTTGTTTCGAATTCTTAAAATTATCATCACATTTTCTGCTCTTTCCTTCCAATGTGATTTTATTTTCCTCCCATTTTTTGGACAAGTTCTGTTGAAACTTCTTTGGGGAAACTCAACCCCACTATTCCTCATATTGGATTACATAGCTGCGAGGTTGAGATTCTCTTGCTATGAGAAAAGTAACATAGTGAGCTTGTACAGCATAAGGGCAATAGTACAATTGAAATTGATGTTCTTATGTGGAAACTTTGAATCTATATAGCAAGACTTTTTATGAAATTGCTGTTTCTTTCTTCTCTTCAGTACTGAGGTTGAAATAGCTTATATAGAAGCAACTACTTGTTCAAGATTTGCTTGATCTCTTATGGGATATTTTTGAAGATATACACACGTTCGTTGGATCATTCTTGAGAATTTATCAATGTCCTATTGCAATCTGATTAACAGTTATGATGCTTTCGCACCCATTATATCAATCAAAATTATGCATTACATCTGTGTTGCTATTTTAAGCTTTATACAATTATATTTTCATGTCTAGTAAAAATAATCTTGAAATCATTTATAATTAAATCTCAGGTGTGGCAACTTTTATTAATATTAATGAAGAGCAACTGACATGGTATTTTTCAGTAAAAAAAAATTAAGCATGCTTGTATATGTTGTGTATGGTGCTTTTTAAGATTAAAAAAAAATAGTGGTGACTGTTTCTTCAGCTAGCGCCTAGTGGGGAGAAGTCCGTGAGAGACAAGGGCAAGTAGAATTCATGTTAGGGCTTTGACTGCGGGAGACAGAAATGAGTTGAAAACTGAAAAGGTTGGATCAAGAGAATAGAAATAACAAAGATTTGGTGTCCCCACAAACTTATTAAAAAGCCGAATCTTGTGGGTTTTGTTTCAGCACATGCACATGCACTTGGCCCTCCCTCCAACTGGACTTCACATTCCCACTTCCCCCCTTTTTATATTTATTATTCCAAGCCACTCCGCTTCATCACTGGCTATGAATATTTAGTGTTTCTTATTTTTTAGTTTGTCTAAAAGTTTAAATCAATATCTTTCAACATACATTAGACTACTCTCACTAATTCACACTAAGTTAATCAACTAAACTCATACTTCATTTGCCAAGCATAAAATCCCAATTCAATTTCTATACAAAAAAAAAAACCTCAATTAAATCTGGCTCATCATACAATTGAGGTACATTTGATATAATATTGAGTGGATACATGACAAAAATTATAATAAAAAATAGCTATAAATATAAAATATATAAAAAAAATTTGTATTTGCAAGCCATATATGTTGCAACTCACTCCAAACTTCATGACTGCACAACATCTATTTTAGTTAATAGTTATTAAATTAAATAATAACTAAATCTGAACCCTGTGTATTAATACAAAGTTAAAAAAAATAAATTACATTGTTTATATCTTATAAATGACATAACTTATTATATATTTGAAATTTTATATTGATAAAAATATAATAATGAATATCATATAAATTGATTGTACATTCTCACCAAACGTATCCCTCGCAGATTCAAAGTCACGATTGATGTATACTAATTAAAGTTTAGGAAAATGTGATGCGAGCAGAGATACGGTATCAAAAAATACTGTAATTTGTCCTTGTCAGGCCCTTTGAATTTCTAATGGTGTGTCCTTTGAGTTAGAATTAGGCTTCCGTTCTTTGTCGTCAATGAAAATTTGCTGGTGCTTTTTCATTTTTTTTTTTCATTGTTTTCGCAGGCCTCGCTGCGGCTGAATGTTAGGCTTTGCTGGTTCAGCTTCTCAAAAATATTAAATTGATAAAGGTTGAGGGGAAAAGCACAATAAAATTACTCTGATGTAATCATGTGAGTGTGGCGAGATGTAATGACTATCTCATTTTGTCCTTTAAACATACGATGGGATTTGATTTTTCACTCATATAAATAGAGAGCATTCTATGATCAACTGTTTACCCCCTTATGAGAAATCCTACTGTGAAGGAATTAGTCATTGTTTAAACAATTAAATTTTTAAAATTTCATAATTTTTTTTAAATTCTCTTAGTACTTTTTTTGATATTAATAATTTTAAGTTAAACTACTAACCTATCTCTCATTTAAAATAAAAAATAACAGGCTCAAATGAGAAGTTGTGATTTTTTATTTAATTATTATGATTTACAAATAAAAATTTTGATTGTTTAAACAAAAGTTGCAATTGATTATTTTTAGAACTTAGAATTCAATGATAAAAGAAATTTCATGTGAGAAGTTGTGATTTATTGTTTAACTTTTATTATTCAAATAATAAAAGTTATAATTGATTATTTTTAGAATTTAAACTTCAATAGTAAGAAAAATTTCATGTAAAAAATTATGATTTCTCGCTTAATTTTTTCATTTCACATAATTAAAGTTGTAATTTTTTAAACAAAAGTTATGATTTAAAGTAGTTCTTTTTATAATTTATTTATTCAATTTTTGCTATTCATAAAACAAAAGTTATAATTGCTTGAGCAAAAGTTGTGATAAAAAAAATACAACCGAACTCATTATTTTTATTTTAAATAAAAAATAATTTAATTATTTCACTTAAAATTATTAATGTTAAAAAAGTATTAAAAAAATTTAAAAATGATGATATTCCAGAAAACTTGATTGAAATTTAAATATTTTAATAAAATGTTATTGTCATTTTCTCAGGGTTAAAAGATTTGTCAGCTAACCACCTTAAAGTAAACGGTGTTTTGATTATTATTATTGTTAGTATTATTTTTTCTTGCCTTGTGAATTTCAGTCAAAGTAGATGTTTTTTAAACTTTTATTTCAGGAATACAATCGATACATATAAAAAAAAATTATTATTTTTTCATTGTTTTTGCAGGCCTCGCTGTGGCTGAATGTTAGGCTTTATCGTTTTAGTTTCTCAAAAATATTAAAGTGAAAAGGGTTGAAAGCTTTGTCGGCTAACTACCTTAAAGTAAACGGGATTTTAATTTTTTTTTTTTTTTGGTTCTTGCCTTGTGAATTTCGGTCACAGTAGATGCTTTTAAAACTTCTATTTTGGAAGTACAATCGATACATATTGAAAAAAGAAAAATAAATTACACATGTTGTCTCATTGTCTTTCCATTCACCGTCTCCCAGTAATGGGACGGCCAGTCAAAGATAGGAAAATCAATTTGGTGCAAACAGTAGAGGCTCGCATTTTTTAAGCAGGTGATTAATCGGAAGAAGTATACTTTTTGTTCTCCATATCCTATTATCCTAAAAGGTGATCAACCTTTATTATAATTACTGATTATATTGATGGAAGATACTTCCAAGAAAAAATTGCTCGAAAGTCTTCACACGGGATATTTATTGCTCCAACCACAGGACTTCAATTTTTTCAAGGGAAGATAAGAATGATGATGAAATGCCCAAAATGCCCCTTAAGTTCAACATAAGAAAAACAAACGAAAAAACGGAAGAAGGCGGACATGGAAGTTGGGTAGAAGGCTTCTGTGGCAAAGTTGTATCTCTACCCCAACAATAACTGAAGTAGTGGCTGTTGCTGGGAAAGAGGTTTTAGAAATGCTCAGCTGAAATGTGACTGTAAATGCTGTCAACGGGATTACCAGAGACTTCAATAGCGTACACCCATATTCTGATGTTATTCAAGACGTGTGGAATCTGCTGAACCAAGACTGGGTCGTCGGACTGATGTTTGTGTACAGGGAGACCATTATAGAAGACATGAGGGATCTGATGTTATTGAAGATAAGAGTAATTTTGATGTTATTGGAGATATGAGGAATCTGCTGAACCAAGACTCGGTCGTTAAACTCATATTTGTACACTGGAAGACCATTATAAGGTGTCGGCTTGTTATTGTTATTGATTGATGTATGATTCACTAGTTCTTAAGTCCACAACTGCGTATCGCCTTTTTTATGATTCTTTTAGACCCATCTTCCATTTTGGGAAAAATAAAAATGAGAAAGCTCTGGCAACCCCACTGTAGAAAGGTCTTCAGGCTAAACAATAGCCTGTTGAATACTATTACTAACATTTCGAACGTTTTGATCCCCACTCAATTGAAGTTGCCATGCACTATGCATTTGATAAAATAACATTTCTTGATGCCATAGATGTATGGTCACGCTAGTAGCTCCATCCTTTCTAGTCCCCTATTAGAACACGAACAGATCACCATCAGCTCATGAAAAATTGTATCCAGTTTCCAACAACAACAATCCAGCAGCAACAAATACAACAAAAAAATTCAAAAGTTGATCATATAGCTTACCTCCGCAAAAGTACTAAACTCAAGAAGGATGAAGTCTATTCAAAACTAATATGACATTTCAATAATTCATCTAAACGCAAGAAGGATAAAGTCTACTTAAAACAAATGACATTTTAATAATTCATTCATCCCACAGGAACAATACGGAGACTGAACATGAATATGAGAGATTAAGCGGTAACTGATGGCTTAGATGCAGCAGAGAGCTTAGATCTCCTCTTAGCCAAACTCTCACTGCGGCGTTCACGCTGCTCCTTCAACCGGCTGGCAAGCAGCTTTTGATATTCAGCGGCCTCTGCCTTGGCCTTGGCTATTCTCTTCTTCTTGTCTGCAATCCTTGCTCGCTTCCTTTGTAAAGTCAAGGGAGTAACCAACCTCTGAATTTTGGGAGCTTTGCTCACCTTCTTGCCTGCAAAATATTAAACAGTATCACACTCATTAAAATTTAAAATGTTCTTGATCAAACAACAAAACGACCTAATAAACTCACCAGCTTTGGTTGTAAAGGTTCTGCGGTACGTGTTGACGTATTTACGAACATCATCCTCCTTGGAAAGGTTAAACAACTTCCTAATCTTTGAAGCCCTTTTTGGCCCTCTCATCCTTGGCTTCTCAATGTCAGTCAATCCTGGAAGATCATTCTCACCTTTCTTCACAATAACTAAGTTAAGAACAGAGAGGTCTGGACTGACAATGCAGCCACGAACAGACTTCCTTCTCCTCTCTCCATTCCTTCTTCCATAGCCTCGGAAGCATGGAGTTCCTGTTCAAGTGGACAGTAAAAAAACAAAAAATAAAAAACAATATTCACATAGCAGGAGACAAACGCAATCATGTTAAAAAAAAAAACACTGACCTCTGTGCAGCAAGAGACGGACACGGCCGGGAGTTAACACTCCCTGCTTCATTGGAAACCCTTGTTTGTCACATCCTCCAGTTATTTTGAAAACATAGCCCTTAAACTCCTGCAAACAAGCAAAAAACAAAAACAAAAAGAAAAACAAAAACAAAAATCAGTTATTTGTATTCAATCATGAAGGATAAGCTATAAACAGAAAGATAGAAAATTATACCTCACCCAACGCATCTCCACTAACTTCTTGTGATATCTTCTTGTCCCAAAATGCTCGGCTGCCATGGAATTGTGTTCAATTAAAATATACATTAAATTAAAAATATATATATATATAATATTTATAAAAATTTTATACACATAAATATATATATTGAATTGAAATATACATTAAATTGAATGAATTGATTCTTTCAAGAATGCTGTTCTTGAAGACTTCCACAATAGCTAGCCTAATAGCTTGACCTTAGTCTTATGATGAGGTAATAAACAGTTGGTTCTTAATCTGATAAATGGTCCACAAAAGAAACATTTTTTTGGGATAAATAACCCATCTTACTATTATTTATCAACTTACAATAGATACCAATCTTTGACGGCCACTATACGCTTCACTCTCCCAAAAACTAGAAACTACGACACATATTCACGTGATAACTAAAAGAACCGCTCCAAATACCACCTATCCAGTGTCACCAGTTCTAGATGAAAATAGCCTCATCCACGAAGAAGAACATCTTGAGAACAAAGATAAGGCTTAGAAAAAATTACTAATGTATTTTCATCAATAAAATTAAGACAAATTTTCCCCCTAGAGATAAGTCGTCAATGCTTTATTTTAATACCTACATAAGTTTGTCGCAGTTTTGCCGTGTTTAAATTAAGAAGTACCATTTTGAGAAGTCAGTGGGCGTAGTTGCCAGTTAACATTCTTCAGAATTTATTTGCCAACCTAATGTAAACGGAAAACCTACCGGATTGGAAACAGCAGCAGAAAAACAAAAAAAGACAATTACAACCCAAATTTGAATAGAACAAGAGATAAAATTGAACAAAAGGCCAGGGAACACTTCAAAATTGTTTCGCTTACAGTTTAGCATCATCATCAATTTCAAGCTTCTTCTGGCACCCAGTGGTGGGATTGGCAATGTTGAACTGGAGAAGTGAAAACACTCTAGCATTATAATTATAAATCATATTGAATAAAGGAAGATGGAAACCTCAGACGTCCACATACCTTCATCTTTTAGATTAAATAACAAATACCGCTCCTCTAGAAGCTCTCCTCCCTTAACATATTATAAGAAGAATGACCATCAATGTGCAGCAGAAAAACGATAAAATTTAACAACAGACTCTCGATTAGAGATAGAAAGCAAACCTGCTGCTCAAACGATTTAGCAAGATTTGACATTAGTAAATCGAAGATGAAAAATCGGAAAATTCCATTAAGATTGGGAAAGGATGGGAAACTTACGGAGCACAAACTATGGTTAATCCTGCTCGGCGGGCTACTGATTCTGAATAGGCCGAAACTAGGGCTTTGTGAGGAACAGACTGAGCTGAAAATAGGTAATCGGGCGGCCTTGGCTGATGGAAAGATGTATCCTGACCGTTCATAGGGAGGTTAAATTTTGGATTCGAGACCCACGGGCTCTTGTTTGTTTAGCATTAGCCCAAATCAGGTGTTGGGAAAAACAAAAAGATGATGCCCCAAAAAACACTAAAAAAAATAAAAATAAACGATAGCATGAAAGAGGGAACAAAGGCAACAGAAAATTTCTAATTAAAAAAAAAAAAAAAGAGGCAAGAGAAATTGGGCATGGAATTAGTGGGCTGATGTCACTAATCATTTTTGTTTGAACGGAGATGTCACTAATCTTTTCACAACACTAGTTTCACCTTAAACGTTGACGTGGTGTCTTTAAGAAGATAATTCAAAATTACATCTCTATCCAGAGTCAACCAAAAAGAATAAAAAAGAAAACGCTTGTAATTATGTTCCTCTTAACATCAAGAAGAAATTGTTATATAAATTAAGCCAGCAATAGCCATTAGCCACTTCTTTTGATTTGGTAACACTGAACGTTTGTGTTACAAGGCTTTTTGGAAAAACTTTCTAAAAAAAAATTTTAAAAAAAAAACATAAAACCACTCCAATTTTTTTGGAAAAAAATTACATATAATTTCACGGAGCATACTTATTCACAACTAAATTTTGTAAAATTTAAAAACTACATGCCTCTTTGAACTGTAATAGAATTTGAAATTGGAATGCGAAAGCAATACTATCTTTATTTATTGGATATATGAAATTATAATTATAAAAGTTGAAATCATAGGTGTAAATTATTGATGAAGTATTTATAAATAATTAGTGTTAAACTTTATTAGTAATGCATGGTAAATTTAACTATTAGTTATATGAAATTACAGTTATAAAATATTAAAATAATAATTGTAAATTATTGGTAATGTAGTTATAAACAATTAGTATTAATTTTTATTAGTAATACATGATCGGTTTAACTAAAAATATGTGAAGTCATAGTTGTATACAATTAGTGTTAAACTTATAATGCATAATCGGTTTAACTATTAGATACATGAAGTCATAGCTATAAAAAATAAAGCGATAGTTATAAATTACTTATGAAATAATTATAAATTACTGGATAGATGTAATGTATTTTTAACAGGGACATTATTGTTCTTGTACTTCAATTTTAAATTACACTCTGATTTTAATAAACTTGACTGTGATTTCTAAATGTTGCGAGACTTATTTGTAAATAATTTAATCCATTGTATTTATATGTAATTTTCCTTTCTCTATGTTATCTACAAGTATTATTTAATTAAAAATAATTCTGTTTGAAATATTATTTGAGTATAGTAGTTTCAAAATTTAAAACTAACAATAAGGGAGAAATATCCAATAAATTAAATTACAATTTACTCCTCAGAATTCGCAACGTCAAACAGAGGCTAGAACAAATATCAAGAACTATTTCATTTGAACGAACCAGTACATGGAATATGATTAGACGCAAAGGCCCCGTCTGACACTGGAACGAATTTGAAGGGAATGGATTGAAATTGGAATTTAAATTAAGCAGTGGCAGAGCCTCGCTCGAGGGAATGCACTATTCACCCCTCATATCGGGGGAAAAAATGACATCTGTGGAGATTTAGAGTAAAATATATTTCCTATCCTTTTATTTTGTTTTAATTATACAGACTACCCTCTATTTTGAAAATTTATATAAACTTATTTTAAAATTAAATTATAAATTACTAAATCTTTCTTATATATTTAATATTCTATTTTCATCCATCCAAACATTAGTTGAATGTTAATTTTGACTTTTAAAATTTTAATTTGACCAAAATTATCCTCTTTAACATAAGAATTATCTAATTAAACATCTATATTTTTCAAAAAATTATTTTTTGTAGACAACTAAAAAAAAATACATTTTCAATCTTTGGTACGAAATTGAAAGAGGAATTGGAAGCCTAAATAAAATTTGCAGTACATCAAGCCCACGTCCTGCAACAGTGGAGACAGTGTATATCCTTTATGCATAAAAGAGTCCAGCACTTATCAGCTGGTAGAAATCTACTCCCTCCCCACTCTCGCGCAACCCTCAGAAAATATGAAAATTCCCTCCAAACAACCCTTTAATATTAGTTTAAACTTTAAAGTTTAAACCTAACTTGCTGACTTGGGAGAAAAGAAAAAAGTATGAAAATATTGAGTACCTTCTTGTCTTGCCGCTTGCGTTGTTTCTGCCGCCTTTTTCCCCCCTCGGTCACTTTTTTTTATTGAAATTCATGTAACCTTCAAAATAATATGATTCATGGATTTACAAGGTGAGGGGTAAATCAGTCAATAAAATTTATTTTAATACGAATTTTAATTTAAAAATAAGCATTTCGAATTTTTTTAGAACATTCTTAACGGAGTTAACATTGAATTAAATGGTATGTTTTCAAAATAAAAAGAAGGTTTGCATGATTAAAGCAAAATAGAAGAGTGGCTAGAGCATTTTACTCTAAAATTTACAACCTTGCATCTTCTATTTTTGAAATTTTAAACCCTCTATATTCAATACAAAATTCTTAGATTTAAAAACTTTAGATATTCGTACTCATCCTATAAATTAAAATAAAAAATTTTAAACTCATTAGACATTATTAAAAAGAATGAATAAAAAAGTTGTTTATTTTATAATAAAATCTAACCACAATAAATTAAGTCATCCTTTTGATGTAATAAATATATTTTCTTCCAAATGTAAGTTACTAAGTTCCATATCAACCTTCTGAACATATTATTGGCCAAAAAAAAAAAATTCTCTGTATTTTTCCAAAACAAAAATATTATAATTTCAATTATGGTTTTTTATTTTGTGAGTAATGTAGTATTAGTTTTTAAACTGAGTTGCTTGCACCTTCTAATTTAGGGCCTCATCTCTTTTCATGGGAATGAGCTTTAGAAATAATGTTTGGTAAGTGTTAGAATTAAAAAAAAAAAACGAAGAAGCAAGATTAAGATCAAACAAAAAGGGGGTAAAGACACAACTACCGCCAATCTTCCCAAGTCCAAATGAAATATTCAGATTTTGACCAAGTAGAGAAAATGGCCATCGTCAAGCTCACTAATCTAGCCGGCATCAACTTCATCGTTGATGGAGAGTCAACATCAAACCAAATTACAAGGCAAATTCTCGCCGTCTAACACTCTGCTTGGGAAAGGAGACGGAGGAAAGGATTATTGCCAAATATGGAGATGCAGTAACCAAAGACGAGGGATGAAATCACTCAGTCCCTAGACTTCAGACGAAATAACTCAGGCACTCAACCCATTCACAAAGCAGACGATGAACTGAAACATGATGCTGAGAGAGCACAAAGGGAAGAAGATAAAATGACGACAAAGAGAGATGAGAGGGGATATGGTAGTGGGCAATTTGATCTGAAAATTTTCAATTCCAGGACTGATTTTACAATATCAAGATGGGCGGTATTAAGTAATCTGAAGATATTTTTCATTACCCCATACCAAACATTACCTTGGTTTGGATGGAAAGGAAATTAGAGAGAAAATTAGAAAACTACAAAAAATATAGTAAAAAAATGTACCATTTTTGGCAGTTTTCTCTCCTAATTTCTCTTCCCTTATATTTTCCCTCCATCCAAACTAAGCATTAAAGTTGGTATAACTTAACCCCAATCCCAATCCCAACCCCCCATTCTTACATGACAAAAAGAGCCAAAAAGCAATACCCAGACAATCTTAATCAAAGCAGGGGTCCCTTTGCCACTGCGGATGGAAACTGGAAAGGCAACGAAAGTATGAATATGACAAAACTGAATCTCATGACATACCACGGGAGACAACATGAATCTCATCACAAAATGAATTATTTTCAATTTCTGATCACTCTAAAGGCCGTAGAAGGGAAACAAGACGACATCCAAATAAAATGTCTTCAGCCCAGTAACAAACAAATAAATGACTACTAAATTTTCTGCAGCAACTTGTGGATCACACATGTGATGTTTCCCGCATTAAAATTCTTCTCTCTGATTCCCCAGTAAAAAAAAAAAAACAAATGAAAAAGAGCAAGAAAGCCCGCTAGGCTAGCACCAGCAATGAGAGTTAAAATAAAACTTCCAGTCCGCTAATCTATTCTCCAACTGTCAAACCAAACCCAAATTTGTAGTCTTTTTTCGAGTGATCAAGCTGCATAAAAATGAAAACATGTCAAGGAAAAGGCAAAAACTAAGCAAGCAAATGGTCCGCTGAAATATATGATCATCAATACAAAACTTGTTTGGATGTGTGTGGAATATAAGATCAACATCGTACAACTAATTTCGATAACCCTCACCAAACCTAGGATTTTACCCATTCCACATACACTCAAAGCAGAAAATAAGAAATGGTGTCTTACCTCGGCTGAAAGAATGAAGTTGAGACCCATATTTAATCTTTCCTCAAGAAAAGCAGAGACAGAGCCATTAGAATCAATCTTGCCCCTCAGGCGGCACTATAACAACCACAAGAAAATTGGATAGTAAACAACTTCATACTACTTTAAGAATGGACAATTTATAATCACCATCAGTTCAAAAGGATTATCAACCAATTGCATGCGTCACCAAATCTATTGAAATCTCAAATGAACATTCCGAAATCATAAATTACAAGAAAACAGCCATTGACACACTGTGATCCACATAATTGTAACATTTTATCATTTCACGTCACAATGTCATGTAGAAAAATGTTTTAAAGTCCAAGCGAGTCATCATGCACATCCATGTCCACTTACCTTCATTTTTATAATTTCGTGTCTCTTTCTTTTACATTTTCTCCACAGGGAGCAACAGGTAAAAAAGAGGGGGACCACAGAGACTAATGTTACCCACTAATGGACCTGACTAAAACTCAGCAGTTGATCCTTGTTCATTAGCCGTAGAAAATATCAATAGTCAGAGTAAGAAGCAAAATATATAAAAAAAAAATGAGTAAGATGTAGGAGATTGGCATCAAGGGATTAGTTCATTACATGTTTTGCAAATGTTTGTGGCCTCCATGTTGCATTAGTTCCTTACATGAATAAAATGCCAGAAAGGCAAAGTTACCTGTCTAAGGATGTAGTCATAACCAAAGCTAGCTGTGACATCTCTTGACATGTAATTATACATGAACTCTGATGCTAGAGATACCTAAAAAATATGTTTTGCATGAGAAATAGAGTTGAAGACAATAATTCTCTCCTGCATTTTGATTTACTCACCTTCTCAGATACCTTCTGAACATAGCTTAGAAGAACCATTCCGGTGCTAGCTACTTGCCCTGTAGCAACCTACATGTACATGAGCAAGTTAAATCATACATGCTATCTAAGAAAATGAGTCAATTTGATCAAAGGACAGTTCCAATGACCTGAGGGAAAACAACCCACACTAAAAGAATCTACCAAGGAAAACAGCTCATTGGATTTATTATGTGTCAACCTACTGAAAGCCAAGAACATTTGCACAACATCAATAGAGACATGTATAAGAATAAAGATTAGAAGATATATAAATGGAGATTAGAAGTTACATAAATGGTGCCCATGAGATGAGTTAATCAATTAAAAGCAAAACTAGTTATAACCATCAAAGCAAGAAAATGTCATAAATAAGTGACTGAATAAAGAAATGTAAAATTATAAAAATATGCAAAGGAGGAAAGAGGAAACAACCAATAATATAAGGTAGGGCTGCCCCTCAGCAATCATACCATTTTATCAGTATTGTAGCGAGCAGCATAACCAATACCAGACTTCCGATGCTGACCAGACCAAAATACTTCTCCACCCAATGATAAATAAGGTGTCACACTCTGGAAGACAGTCAATGCTTTCAGTAAACATTCTGATGACATAAAACAACTGATCCCCTCAAATCATACAGCATTTTGGGCTAAACAGTTTGTGATAAATAGGGATATTGACATTCATTCCATAATCTAACTACATAAGTAGTACTTTCGTATCAAAATGGAACAAAATGCTGCATTTCTATATTAGTTGTTATTTCCAGAAATTGTGTATCCCCTTGGACTTATATAAGCATCATTCTTGTTTCAGAAGCTGTCATCTTTACATAGAATCACTTTTTACATTGAACCCTTGCACAGTTCAATTGGTATCCTTCGGTATATATTATATATAAAATGGAACGTCTTAAAATAATCAGTCATTGATATCATTGTTTTAACAGGCTCAAGGAAAAGAACCAAATTAGTTTATAAAATTCTTCGAATTCTTTATTTGCTATCTTGCATGCATCCTATGTTATTTATTGTTTTAAGCAAAGCCTCAAGTTTGAGTCTTATGAATGGAAAAGGCCACGCAAAGTTAGAGAACCTGCTCAGCTCACTGAACTCTAGCCCTCCCATTAAAGTGTGAAAACGACTTTCCTAGTTCTCAAATTAGACATGTGATCATTTCCTCAGTCCTTGATTTTAGATCCAGGGCAAAACAAATAGTTTATAATGAACAGAAGGACTCAGATTTATACACAAAGCAATAAGATCCTCTACCTGAATATAACTTGCCCCGAATAAGGCTCCATTCCCAACTTGAAGCTGTGTCCTATAGTCTTTTCCCTGTAAATATGAAGGTTTGTGCAATTTGCCACGGAAAAAGCTCAAACATGCTTGGAAGTTAAAAGGCACAACTAAAACAGGAATTGTTTCATTTGACATAAGTGGGACCAAAAGAAACATGTAATAAGTAATAGTGGTTCACCTTATAATCAAAGTTGGCCATCCCATGAGACATGTGTGGTTCATTTGTAAGCTGTCCAAGCACATGAGGAATGAGAGGTAATGCTGAAGCAGAAAGAAAAGCATATAGCAAAAAAGCTTGAGAAGGGGGAAACAACAGAGGTTGTTGGTTGCCAAAAACAGTGTGCAAATATCTTGGCTATTCTACGGCCCCGAGCTTTATTTATAGTGTCAACAACTTTTATTTACCACCTTAAACTCAAAATCACCCCATCAAAGTAGTAACAGCCTCTAATAATTGTAGAAGAGTTGAAAAGATATATACAAATCTGCAACCAATTTGGGTTCCAGTAGAAATCTGTGCGCGTCAAAACTGAACATTTTTAAGACCACAGAACTCTGTATGACTGAACAAGCATACCTGAGCATTGGCCTTTAAAGTGAGGCTTTCCGTTAAATCACACTTGACTCTTGCATTTAGCCTCCCATCAGTCATTATTCTCCCAATGAGCATCAACTGTAGAAAATCATTCGCTGAGGGTCGTTTAAACAAAACCACGCAAAAATCAGAGAGTGTAGAATGCAGCTTACCTTAGGATCAATGAAGTTCGCACCAAACTCATAGTGAGAAGTAGGGATTTTAAGGGTTTCTGAGGATGGAGAAGGAACCTCAGTAGGGCCCATGAACAGGCTGAATTGGCAGAAAAAAAGACCATACTCAATAAAACTTGGAAGCTGCAACAATTCATATCTTGAAACTTTAAGACTAACATTACCTATGACTGAGAGAAAACTTTTGATTAAGGCCCCTGGTGAAGTCAAAGCGCATCCCCTCAAAGAGCTCTGGTTTTAAGGACACTGCTCACGGGCATGCATATATTTAAGTGTTACACGCAAAAATAAAGCAAACAAATAAATAAATCAAGCTTCAACGCGCCCCTCATTTTGATTCAACATGCAATTCTTGCTACTTGTACAGAAATGCTATCGGGATGATCAATAGAAATAAGTCTGAGCTTCAGTTTTTCCGTCATCATGGACGATGGCAAAGGCAATAAAACTGATAACTTGGAAAAAACACTATATATGACCAATCACCATGGTTCTCCCAATATCAATGATCCCAAAAAGAACAGGGCAATGCCAAGCTTAACATTAGAAATAACAAAGAGTAAAAATAGAGAGACTGACTGAGAGCTTCACGGTGGACCTCTTCATAGGGAATCGGACAGGGAAGGTCTAGGTAATCAACTTTCTCCTCCGCCTTCTTCTGGGCACTGGAGTCAGCTGCTGTACCAGAAATTGGGAGAGCAATGGTGGCCATTGCAGGCGAGATCAAACCAGTGTTAGCAGGAAGTGGAGGAGGAAATAGTTGACCCTCAGATCTCTGAGACCGATATAAGGAGGAAGATGTGTAAAACCCCAACCTCGATGGCTTCTAAAACCCTAGCGTTTTGAGCGTAAGAGGAAGACCATGCACTTCGCACCCCGCGTCTTGGTCAATGCAGACTGTACTTACCCGACCCGTTTTGCGTTTTGGACTAGCAAAAGGTGCTAACAGCTTTGGATCGGTTCGGGCAAAAACTTAAATTGAATCAGACAAATCCGTTTATCAAACTTGGTTTCTTAAGTTTGATTTGATTTTTTAGCGTTTTGATTTGGCTTTGAATTAAGTTCAAATTTTTCTAGTGAGCTTTTCTAGAGTTAATGCAAGTGTGTGTATATATTTATTGATAATTTTAACTATTAATTGTTATTTTTTAACCCAAAAAAAAAGTCTTGATGGTACATTATTTAAAAAAAAAATCTTGATTTTTCACAAGTGATTCACGAGATGAGTAATTAAATTTGAGCAAAAACGTAAGAAAATTTATAAAAATGTATGAAATAAAAAATATGGTTTTCGTTTGGTTTGGTTCAATTTCAACGGGCAAAATCCTAAATCAAAGTGAATCAATTAATTATGTCAAAACAAACAAAAAATAACACAAAATCTTATTTATAATTGGTTTTTAATTAATTTATATAAATTTGGTATAATCAATTTGAATTGACATTAAACATCCTTAATTAGGGGCAACCAGACTTCAAATCTGAGGGGGCGCCGAGCTTTTAATTTAATAAATATTATTAATTTAAGTAATTTAAAACTAATTAATTAAATAATAAAACTATTTTTTAAAAATATTTAAACTTATGTACACAATTTTTTTTAATCAGAATCAGTTGATTTTTTAAGCCACCACTTTTGCTTATAACTACTCCCTCAATTTAAAAATATAAGGCATTTTTAATCAAATTTCACCTCTCAATAAAGTAATTACTTACTTTCAAACCAACACTATCTTTTTATATTTACCCCTATTAAAGATCTTACAATAAATATAAAGTTATTATCAATAAGGGCACTTTTTAAAAAAGGTAATAATTACACTTTAAAATATTAAAAATGCTTTATATTTTTTAATATTTAATTTTTCAAAAATATTTTACATTTTTGAGTGGAGGGAGTGTCTCTTAATAAATATTATTAATTGATATAATTTTTAAAACAAAAATTTGGGTATACATAGGAAAATCTTAAATATGATGTATTATTTCAAATGATTTAATTTATCAGGCTAAAGAAAAAAGATACTAATACGTACATATAAACATCATGCATCTTTTTTTTTTACCAATTCAAAATTAATGTTAATGGATAAAAATATTTAATAAATTAATAAATTATATATTTTATAATATATAATATCTATCATATATAATAAGCATGTTATATAGGCATATTTTACAAGAAGTATAAATATCATATATTTGTTTATTTATTTATGTACGCAAGCATGACTGATAAATCAAATAAAAATGAAGTGCTGGTGTTTTTTTTTTCTGTAGTTGAAATTTTAACTTCATATAATTATGGAAGGGCGTGGCTCATGAACAGTGTAGCTCGCCCCTATCCTTAATAGCTACAAAGACTAAATAATAGGGAGGTATACTTTTTCTTATGGGATTATGATTAAACAAGGATCGGGCTCTAGTAATAATTGATAAGTTAGGCTCGATCAGATAGGGCAATTTATTTAGAGAAGCTCAATACTAAATCTCTCATAACTATTCTTATCATCTTAAAGTCCCACTAAATGTTGAAAATCTATAGTTTTTAATTTCTTTTCTATAATTTAAGAATTGTATTAGTTTACTAAATTGCCTATGGTTGAAATCATGAAAAAAAAATTCACACATTTCCTTCTGATCTCACCTCCCTCCTTCCCTCCCTCTCTATAAATAAACTCTATCAATGCAAAGAGATAAGTAGACCCTAAGTTTGTCATAGACTCTCCCTACCTTCTCCATTCTCCAAACCCAAACCCTCAAGTTTTCTTTGGACTCTCTTCTTATCACTTCAAAAATATATCACCCCTTCCTATTAGGGGTGAAGAAAGGGGGAAGAAAGGGGGACCAGTAGGGACCATGGCCCTCCTAACCTTTTAATTTTTTCTTAGTAAAATATAAGGGTTATATATTTTTAATCTATTAAGTTGGAACATTATAGAAGCCTCAAGACATTAGATGGAATTCTCATGTCGATTCTATCATAATCTTTTATGCATACATGGTCCAATTGTTGTGGTAACTTGAAGATATAGTTGTTATATGATCTACTTATTTTCAACAAATAACGTTACAAGTGCTCTTAAAACATCAATATCATTTGATTTTAGTTTCATTTTATATTTGATGAAAGAAATTATGAGAATTATTACTTATAAAGCAATGCAACAAGAATCCCAAAATATATTGAATGAAGAATATATCAATTAAAAAAAAGTAAATAGTAAATTCAATAAGTAAATAATATAATTTTTTATATTAAATAAAACTTTAAATTCTAATGATGTATTTAATTATTCAATGCAAACTACGCAAATGCAAACTATTGTTATTATTTGTGCAAAAGCCAAGAATTATTTTTTTAAAGCCAAAATTAAATCTTATTTTTTAAGAATCTGTATAGTGTTAATGACACTCACATGGCCCTGTTTTCTACTAAATCATCTTTGCCTACTATTAACCTAACTGTTATAGAGAGTTTGACTGCCATCCCTTCTAAAGAAGAAATTAGGAAAGTGGTGTTCTCTATAGGTCCCTATAAAGCACCAGGATTTGATGGTTTCCTACTAATTTTCTTTGGATCTAATTGGGAAATTGTGGGGGATTCGTTCTGTAAGTTTGTTGAGGAGGCTAACAAGACTCTCATTTCATTAATTCCTAAAAGAGATAATCCAGATTTGGTGAGCCACTATAGACTAATCTCCCTTTACACAGCTCACTATAAGTATATTGCAAAAATCATCAATCAACGATTGAAAGTTTGTATGGCTTCAATCATATCCCCCTTTCAAGCTAGTTTTGTCTTGGGCGAACAGATTCGAGATAATATAATCATAAGGCAAGGAAATCATGCATATCATGAAGAAAACTAAGAGAAGACTAGGTTTCTTTGCCATGAAGATTGATTTTGAAAGGGCATATGATCGCATGAGGTGGGATTTTCTTAAATAAGTTTTGATTAAAGCTGGCATGAGCTTTGAATTTATCTCCTTAATTATGAATTGCATTTCAATAGTCTCGTATAATGTTTTGTGGAATGTTAACCAATTTGAGTTCTTTTCTCCTTAAAGAGGCCCTCGATAAGGGGACCCAATGTCTACCTTCTTATTTGTACTGTGTATACATCCCACCTTATAAATGATGCTGTCGATTCTGGTCAATAGAAGCTAATTCATGTTACCAAACAATGTCCTTTGATCTCACATTTGATGTTTGTGGATGATTTACTTCTCTTTGTTGAGGTTTCGGAAAGACAAGCCTTAATAATGATGAAGTGCCTAAAGAGTTTTTGTTCTGCCTTTGGAGAAAAAGTGAACTTTTCAAAGTCCTTTCTCTTTTTCTTTAAAAATGTAATTGCTAAAATGAAAGGTAAAATTAAGAGATTAGTGGGCACAAAAATTTATGCCGAGATAGGTAGATATCTTGGCTTTCCTTTCTTAGAAGATAAACAACCAAGAAAAAAAAATTAGCTACATTGTGGATAAGGTGAAGGCTAAATTAACAGGTTGGAAAACTAACTATTTTTCTACGGTGAGGAAGGTTATTCTAGCTAAGTTTGCCTTAAGTGCTATTCCTTTGTATCCCATGCAAGTGGCAAAAGTGCCTATTTTTGTTTGCAATAAGATTGAGAAAATATAGAAAAATTTCATTTAGGGAAGCTCTTATTCCAAGGGCTTTCACCCAATCAGTTGGAACAATGTAACTTTTCTTAAAGCTTAGGGTGGCCGAGGCTTTAAAAAACTATCATTAGTCAACGAAGCTTGCAGTATAAAGCTTGCTTGGAAGCTAGTCACTGGTAATAAAGGTCTTTGGGATGAGTTATTACTAAATAAATATATGCTCTGATTTGAGGAAAATTTATTGAATAGTGCTAAAGGGGATTTATCTCTATGGAAGTTTATTTGTTAACAAAAAAATTTAGTGGAAGAGGCAACTAGATGGCAACTCAAAAATGGTGAATTGATTACTTTCTTCAAGGATCTATGGCTGGTTTTAGATAAAAAAAAATCAAGGGTATGGTTATTAGACTACTTTTTGCTAAGGAAACTAAGTCTAAAGTTGTAAACTGGACACGCTTTGGAACTTAGGACTACTCCTCTCTATCCCTCATTATGACTAATTAGGTTATTTCTAAACTCATCTTTACAATAGACCCTTCTAAAGTTGTTGCATGTGATATTATGCTCTGGAATGATACCTCTAATGGATCCTTCACTTTCAAAAGTGCTCATTTTATGGTAGAGAAACCCCTTCCAAATTTGCTTGATCCTAATTTCAAATTAATTTGGAAATGGAAAGGGGCTGAGAGAATTCGCTTCTTCATTTGGATTTCTTATCATAATAGACTTCCCACAAATAAGTAGTAAAACTCTTAGGCAGGTTGCTTCCCCTTATGTTCTTGGTGTGCTTTAAAAGAGGAAGATATTATGCATATTGTTAGGGATTATAGTTATGCATGTCAGATCTTGTAACATCCTTAATTTTAAATTAAGACTAATTAAGTTTAAATAGACTAATTAAGTGTATTTGTGAGGTGTGTAGTCAGAGAGGCCTAATAGGCTTGTTTGATCTTGTGGATTCAAAAGAGAATTGGGTCACCTGGGAATGGAAGAGGAATAATTTTTGAAAGAAGTGATTTTGTGCCACGCGCCTTGGCTCGTGGTTAGTCTGTCGCAGCACATGCGTGACAACACGCTTAAAAGAGGCTCTCTGTGCCATGCGCCACGGTGCATTGTGCTTCCACCATGACGCATGGTTAGAATTTTATAGTTTAAGTCACGAACCTGAAGTAAAGGAGAAGAGAAAAACAAAAGGAACCGAGAGCGTGATGAAAGAGCTACTAGGGCTTGAAGAAACTAACTTATGGGA